GCCAAAAAGTGGCATAAACACAGAAGCTCGGAGGTCCGCGCGGAGTTCTCGGATCGGCGCTGGACCCCCCTCCCTGGCGCGCGGAGCGCGCCAGGGCCGGCGCCGGAGGCGCCGCCCCTGAAATCCGAGAAATCCGCGCGGACCTCTGAGTTTTGGATTTTTCATGTTTATGCAATTTTTTGTTCCCCTGCTGAGGGCTGGGGCCCGAACTTTGAGTCGGGCCTGTTCCTCTACGGGAGGAATGTTCACGAAGAGTCAACAAAATTCAAATGTTTGGGGCGGCTGTTCCACTGTGTTGGATGATGTTCGGGCATTTCCTGGACATCTGTTGCACCTGTTTCCTCCCAGATCGTCCGCCTGCAGGGGGGGGACATGCCCGACCCGAGCCCTGAGAGCTGGGGAGCGGGCCACAGGGGCCGCCCTGACCCCTGACATGCCCGACCTGACCCCTGACATGCCCGACCTGCCCCCGTCGCTGCCTGCCGTGCTTGTCCTCGGGGGCCCTTGGCCCGCAGGAGCCTGTTTTTTTTAGACTCTGGCAAGTTTACTTGCATGGACGGGGGGGGGGGGCTGAGCCTGGAGCAAGCCCGGGGTGGGGGGGCGCGGAAATCACGCAAGTCGAAAGGCACTTGCACGCTGAAGAGGGACGAGGGGGGGGGGGGGGAGCGAACTCCATGCAAGTAAACTCGCCTGAGTCCAAAAAAAACAGGCTCCAGCCTGCTCCCCCCCCCTCTGTGCACCGCCGGCGCTCCCGGTGCGCCAGCGCCGCCCTCGGCGCCCTGGGGGCGCTCTGCGCCCCGGCGAGCCGGCCGCGCCGCGGCGGCGAGCCCGCGCCGGGCCAGCTGCGCCCCGGCGAGAAGCTCTGCCGCGAGGAGATCTGGGAGATGCAGCGCCGCAACGCGCTCACGGGCGTCTGGAGCCCAGAGGGATAGGAAAAGGGTGCCCACATTTTTTTATATACATATATGGGAGATCCCGGGCCCCGGGCCCCGGGCCGGAACCCCCCTTGTATATAGGGTGCGGCCCTCTCCCGGGGCGCCCTTCCGGCGGCCCCCGCGCGTTCCAGCCCGCCCAAGAGGGCTCCAGGAGCGCCGAGAGAACCCCAGGATCGCTTCAAGACCGCCAAAGATCGCTTCCAGAAGGGTCAAGAGGCGCTCAAACCGCCCCAAGAGGCCTTCAAGAGGCCCCCCACGAGCGCCCCGGGAGACCAAAATAGCCCCATTCCCTTCGTAAAACGTACATTTTTACGATATCAGCTCCCTTAGCTGTCGGAGCGGCCAGAAAGCCCCACGAGGCGCCCAAGGACGCTCCAGGACGACTGAGGACAGCCCCAAGACGGCCCAGGAGGGCCTCCCGGGACGCTCCTCCGGCGGCCCCCGGGCTGCCCAGTCCGCCCAAGAAGGCTCCAAGAGCGCCGAGAGAACCCCAGGATCGCTTCAAGACCGCAAAAGATCGCTTCCAGAAGGGCCAAGAGGCCATCAAACCGCCCCAAGAGGCCTCCAAGAGGCCCCCCAAGAGCGCCCCGGGAGACCAAAATGGCCCCATTCCCTTCGTAAAACGTACATTTTTAGGATATCAGCTCCCTTGGCTGTCGGAGCGGTCCGAAAGCCCCACGAGGCGCCCTAGGATAGCCCGAAGACAGCCCAGGAAGGCCTCCCGGGACGCTCCTGGGCCTTCACGGCGTTGAAGACGGTCGAAAAGACCCCCACGACCGCCCCAAGACGGCCCAAGAGGTTCCCAAGAGGCGCCCAAGACGGCCCGAGAGGGCGCCAAGACGGCCAAAGAGGCCCCCAAAACGGCCCGAGAGGGCCCCAAGACAACCCCCAGGATGCCCCAAGAGGCCCCCAAGAGGCCCCCAAGAGGCTTCCAAGAGGTGCGTAAGAGGCCCCAAAGAGGCCCCAAGAGGCAAGGCGGCAGAGAGTCGGCGAAGGCAGTTTCCATACCATGCCCGGCCCGGCGCATTGGAGGGGGATGGGGAGGACGAGGAGGGGGAGGGGGGGGACGGGGATGAGGAGGAGAAGGAGGAGAAAGGAGGAGGAGGAGGGGGAGGAGGAGGAGGAGGAGGGGGAGAAGGAGGAGAAGGAGGAGGAGAGGAGGAGGAGGAGGAGGAGGAGGAGGAGTGGGAGGAGGAGGGCGATGAGGAGGAGGAGGAGGAGGAGGAGGAGGAGGAGTTTGAGCAAGTGGAAGAAGGAAGGATTCAGAAGGAAGGAGGAAACGGTGGAGCGGGGATGAGCCTCTTCATTTGAGATGTTGAGGCGTTCGGGTTCGATTTCTGGGCTCGGGTCTTCGGTCTCAAGGTTCGGGTCTAAGGGTGAGGGTGTCATGGAAAGATTGTTCGGGTTTGAGTGCTCTCGTGGATCTTCTTGGGAGCCTCATGGGCCCTCTTGGGGCCATTTTGGGCCGTCTTGAGGCCGTCTTGGGCTGTCTTGGGGCCATCGTCGGCCATCTTGAGGCCCTCTTGGAGTCCCAAGAGGCCCAAGAGGCCGAAATTGTTGATTTTCCATAGGTCTTTCTATGTTTTGAGGCCCAGAATGAGGCCCTCCAGATTTGGTCCGACGATGTGGCGCGGCTCCAGGGGGGGGGGCCTAATATTGCAGAACAAAACAATATGTAGCATATGTAACAAGTATGCAATCGTTGGATACACTGGACACGTTGCATTAAAGCATCCGCGGACCTGCCTCTGGCAACACGTCATTATCGGACGTAGATTTCCCGCGAATCGCCACGGAATCGGACCCGTGCTTGCGAACACCGTTTTCGGAGCAAACTAGAACCTAAGCGCGCGCGAAGCGCGCGCGTGGTTCTAGTATATATATATATATATATATATTCACATACATACACACATACATACATATATCTATATATATATATATATATATTATATATATATATATATATATATATGTGTGTGTGTGTGTCTGTGTGTATGTGCCGCGGCCCTCTCCTCGTTTGTCGCCCCCTTTGTGGGGCCTCCTGGGCCGCCCTCGTCGCCCCCGCTGGGCCCGCCCGGGAATCCTGGCCAGAGCGCGCCCCGGGAGAGGTCTGGGGAGTAGCGGTATCGGTACCGTTTGGTGCCCCCAGGATCGGGTATAGCCAGGACCCCGGGTAAGGGGGCCGGGTTAGTGGTAGGGCCCTGGGGCCCCTCAATTGGCCAGATTCTCTAAACCAGGTTTGCCGTAGCTGGTGTTTTTCGGGTGACGGCAGTTCCGGTTAGTGGAGAGGGGACGGGGGGGCGCCTCCGGTACAAATCTTAAACCAGGTTCCACTAAACCCAGTTTTGCCAACGCCCGACAGGAGCCCGCCGTTCTTGCCCCACGACGGCTGGAAGCGCTGGCGTTGGGTCGATCTGCAGCACGAGAAGCACCCGTGGGTCACGGGCACCTGGAAGGATCAGGAGGGAAAGAAGCACACAGACACAAGTCATCGTCGATTCCCCAGAACAGATGGGAAGTGGGGGGGAAGACGAGATCTTCGTCTTCCCCCCCATCTTTTTTGGTTTTGTCACAAAAACCATATATTTGGGAAGACCGAATTTTCAATATTTTTTGGTTTTCGTCACGAAAACCCACGAACTATGGTAAAGTATGGGGAATAGGTTCATTTGTGTGTATTCATTGGTGTGTCCTTGGGCCCCTTCACAGGAGGCCAGGCAGTGCGAGTCGCCGCCCACGAAGCCGCCCGCGGGGTGGCGGCGGCTGGGCGGCGGCTGGGAGCTGGCCGAGGCGCGCGGCCCCTGCGACGAGGAGAGCTGGCAGTACAGTCGGGGAGGCGTAAGACTCGAGTGAGCTTAAATCAGGGGCAGCGATAGGGGGGGACAGGCATATTCGATGCTCGTTTCGGGGACCTTCCTGGAGCCCACCTAACGGATCTGTTCGACCCCAGTTCGACTCAAGGTCGACTCAAGTTCGGCTCAAGTTCGACTCAGGTTCGACTCAGGTTCGACTCAGGTTCGACTCAGGGTCGACTCAGGGTCGACCCAAATCGACTGACGTTCGGCGCAGCTTCGACGCACGAGTGGAGCGAGTGGCTCCAGGAAGGTCCCCAGAACGAGCATCCAAGGCATAGGGGGGGATGCATCGACATGCAGTCGCCCATTGATCCGCCGATAGGGGCCCGATAGCCCCAACCTGCCCAGGAAGGTGCGGATTCACTATCAGTGGCCTATCGCCGATCTATCGGCGATGTATCACCGATTCCAGGTCGATGCATTCTCCCCTATGCCAGTCCGCCCCTATCGTTGCCCCTCATTGAAGCTTAAGTCAGGCCTGTCCATCTACAGGGGGAATCTTCAAAACTAGTCAACAGAATACTCTGGGGACTATTTATCTACCATGTTTTGACTATGTTTGAGCATGTCGTGGGGTATTTTTTATAGTTCGTCCAAACACCGCCTGTAGGGGGACACGCCCAACCTAAGAGTAAGCCGGAGCTCGGGTTTGCCGACGTTTTGTTTTCGTTTTTTGGGACGAGCGCCTCCTGGATTTTGGCGGCCCAGTTTTCGTAGGATGCTTGCAGCGGGAGCTCGCGTCAAGTTTCAGACTGGGTCTCGTCATTTCTATGATGGCCCCGTCAGGCCACCCCGAGTCCCCCGTACCCGAGTCTTACGTCTGGACGCCCGAAATGGGTACTGAAAGAATGGGTACTATGCCCAACAGCGGATCTGGTTCGTTCTGAACAGGCCTCGCTGTCCGCGCCGCCGCGGCCTGTGTCCATTCGAGACAGGAGGCCGCCTGCCCAACAGCGGCCGCTGTTGGTTTGGGACAACATTTGCTGTTGGGCATGGTACCCATTTTTTCGGTACGGTAGGTTTGCGTCGTGTCGACCAGCGGCGACCCCAGCGCGGGCGTTCAAGGTTGAACGCCGCCGGCGACCCAGAATCGATCGATGTTGAACGATCGGACGTTGCGGCAGCGGCCGATCGTTCAAGGTTGAACGATCCCCCGCGGTGTCAAAAACCAACGCTGGGGTCGGCACGACACGAACCTGCCGTACCCATGTCGGGCGTCCAAATGACGTCTCCCCGATGCGGCGTCGACTTCTACCAGAGCGACTGGCTGTGGGGCGACGGCCACGCGCTCCTGCACTGCCGGCGGCGCCTCTGGCAGTGCGGCTTCGCCGTGCAGGAGCGCTCCGAGGATCAGGGGGGGAAGAACAGGGCTCGTTTCGAATCCTCCGATTCGATTCGATTCGACTCCGATGGATTCCGATTCCGATTCGATTCGATTTCGGATTCCGATTTGGGCTCCGATTTCTTATTGGACGCAGACTAGCCCGCCGATTTCCGCCGATTCGACTTTTCCCGACTCGGCTGTCGATTTCTGCCGATCCGACTTATTTCGATCGCCGATCCGACTTATCGATTCGATTTTGGGCTGCCCTGGAAGAAACACACACACACACACAGAGACACAATTGATCGCCGATCTCTAAGAAAATATGCGATGATATGGGAAGTGGGGGGGGGGGAAGACGAACACCCCGAAAATATACCAAAATGTGGGGGATCCTGGGATTTGTGTCTTTTTATTTGTGTGTCCCTGGGCCCCTTCCGAGGAGCCCGGCGCGGACGACTCGGGGCCGCCCGCGCTGGTGGTGGAGGCCTTGCTGCCCGAGTTCCCCCTGGGCCCCGAGGCCGAGGCGCTGCTGGCCGACGAGTGGCGCGCCTCGCTGGTGGAGGAGCTCATGGAGGCTTATGATGCTCCAACTCCAGACATGATCGCGTCGTAAAAAACAAATCAGGGCGGCAAGTTTTTGGCTAGTTTCAGCCCCGGAAGGCCCTCGCCAGGCCTCGGGACCGTCAAAACACGACCCAGGCCGAACAACCGGGCCCGGGGAAAGGGTCGGGATTTCCAAGGACGCCGTCCGGGAAGAATCAGGACGTCGCAAGTCTGGGCTATGATGTTCCAACCTGCTCTCGCCCTGATCACCAGACAGAGTTTCGAGCACCAAGGAAGGCCGAAGCTTGAGGGTTTTCAAGTGTCGGGCCCTGGGAGGGGAGGCCATGCTCGTTCGACACTCTCGCGATACTTATCTGGGTGCTCTAAGTTAATTCCAGGATGTGGTCCTTAAGTGCGATGGGAGCAGCATAAAAATGGAGGCCGCGGGCTGCTCCGAGCTCGAGGTTTAGGGGAACAAAAGTTGACATAAGCATAACAACTCGGAGGTCGGCGCAGATTTATCGGATCGGCGCTGGAGCCCCCCCGGCGGCACCTCCGGCGCCGCCCCTGACGCGCTCCGCACGCCAGTGAGGGGGGTCCAGCGCCGATCCGAGCAATCCGCGCGGACCTCCGAGTTGTTTGGCCTTGTGCCACTCTTTGTTCCCCCGAGGTCGGGCCCTGGCTGCCAGACGCCGAGCCCGCGGAGGACGTTGATGTGCCTGTTTTCCACCACCACCACCACCATAAGTTGGAAGGGGGAAGGAGGAGGGCGAGGAGGAGGAGGAGGAGGGAGAGGAGGTGGAGGAGGCGGAGGCGGAGGAGGAGGAGGAGGCGGAGGAGGAGGAGGCGGAGGAGGAGGAGGAGGAGGAGGAGGAGGGCCCCCTCTCCCTCCAACGTGTGGTGGTGGTGGTGGAGCACAGGCCCATCAGGACGGGGCGGGGGGGCCGCGGCGGAGGAGCCGGGAGGTGCACGCGCGCGTGCAGTGCCCGCCGTCGGCGTTCTCCCCGACCTCGACGCGCGCCGCCCGGAGAGGGGGCAGAGCGGCGGGCGCCGGAGCTCTCGCGGCGCCGCGCGGGTCTCGAGGATCCCTGGCTGCGCCCCCCGAGGTCCTGCAGCTCAGCGATCTGGCCCCGGAGCGACTGGGGAGGCGAGCGCTGCCGAGCTGATGGGTTTCGGTGTGCCAGGACGTCGAGATCCCTCAGTTCAGTAGTCCTCGCCTTTCCAGTCGCCATGGAGACGCTCAAGGGCCAGATGGCAGACCTGAAGGATCTCAGGGTGCGTACAGGCCCCCTGGGGTCATGAGCGAAAGCATGACGGCGGGGGGGGTCACCATCTCTTCGGCCTCTGATAGGGGAGCGAAGAATGGTATAAACAGAAAAGCTCGGAGGTCCGCGCGGATTGCTCGGATCGGCGTTGGACCCCCCTCCCCCTCCCTGGCGCGCGGAGCGCGCCAGGGGCGGCGCCGGAGGCGCCGCCAGGGGGTCCAGCGCCGATCCGAGCTATCCGCGCGGACCTCCGAGCTGTGATGCTTATGTCGTTCTTCGCTCCCCTAGCTGAGGGCCCTTGCAGGCCCTCGGGACCGTCGAGGAAGGACTCGGGAGGGAGCCCCGGTCCAGGGGAATGGGTCCAGACCGCTGGGGGTCGATGTCGTGAAGAACTCGTGTCTGGGGTCTGGGGTCTGCGCCTGGGCCCCGCCCGGCGGCGCCTCCGGCGCCGCCTCTGGGGCGCTCCGCTCGCCAGGGAGGGGGCCCCAGCGCAGGTCCAGAAGCCCGCGCGGGGCTCCGAAGTGTCACGGTGATGCAGCTTTCTCCTCTTCGTTCCTCCGTGCGCGTCTGCGTGTCCGTCGTGCGCGAGGGGGTGGACGACGTGCGCTCGATCCGCTTCAGCTCCTGCTGGCAGCTGCACGACGTGCCGTACGGTGGCTGCTTCCGTGTCCACGACGCACACACCTTGGAGCCCGCCGAGGGTGGAGTGCGGTTTGCCAAGACGGTCCGCGTGGCGTTCCTGGAGCCGACGGCGCTCCGCAGCATGATCGAGCGCAGCACCGTCGAGCGCGCCAAGGCTCTCGGCCCGACCCTGGTCGAGATCATGAACCAGCGCGCCTCGGGGGGCCCCAGCACGCGCGTGGTGGAGGTGTGGGAGCTGCAGCGGCGCCGCACGCTCTTCCACGACACCTGGGAGGCCCCAGGGCTGGACCTGAGTGGTGTGTTTGGCGATTTCGTGGGCCGCTTTCGTTTCGAGCTCGTGTTGGGGTTGAGGCGGAGTGAAGACAGCACGAAAAACAAGACGAACACGAGAAACGAAAGCAAAACGAAAACGGACAGCACCGTTTGGGTTCAGCCCCATGGTGGGAGGCCCCGTTCCTGCCCCACGACGGCCAGCTGCAGCTGCGGTGGGTGGGCGCGGACTACCAGCGGCACGCGTGGACCCCGGGCACCCTGGCGCAGGTCGGAGGGAGGATTGGTGATCCCCAAACGTGGTGGTGAGAACACCCGGTGGTGAGTTTTGGGCGATTTGGGGGTAATGGTTTTCGAGCGCTGGCTGGCCCAGGAAACGCAAAACCTCGTGGCGACCGCGTGTCCCCAAACCCGGTGGCGACCCAGAATTATCTTTTTGGGGAATCGGGGTCACCACCGGGTGTCTCACCACCTGGTTTGGAGACCACCAAGAGGAGAAGCGATACCAGCAACACCAGGGCGCCCACCTCCAGCGAGGAGGACCACGATGCCTCCCCGAGCTGGGTGCTGGGGATGTCTCGAGCGAGAGGGGGGGCCACACCACCAGGGAGACCCCCCCTTTGCTCCTCGCCCTGCTGGTGTTGGTGTCGGCCTTCCTTGTTCCCAACAGGAGGATTGCGCTGGCTCGTCGACGCCACCGCTGGTCGCGCCAGAGGGCTGGGCGGCGCTGGATGCTGCGTGGAGCGTGGTCGAGTGCCCGGGCCAGGAAGCCCCGTGTCGGGTCGGTTCGGTGTGCGGTCGGGTCGCGAGGGTCTACAGCCAAGACGCTGAAATAAGGAACAGTTTGGGTAAGAAAGGGGCTCGATATTCCTTGGGTCCTTCTATGGCTTTTCCTCTAGCCTTCCTCGTGCACGCAGGCGCTTGTGGGGCCAAAAATGGGCGTCGTTCCTTTTTTATCGTTCCTTCTTTCAGCAGCCCGACTGTGGGCCCAGGCCTCCTAGATGGGGTCCCAGTAGATGGGGTCGGAGGGTCGCGCCGCGTCGCCGATTCATCGCCGATGCGGCTCGATGTTGAGCCCATTTCCCCTCCACGTCGACGTCGCCGATGCATCACCGACGTCGACGATGCATCGCGGGTGCACCACCTGTGCATCGCCGACGCATTGCCGATGCATCGGCGATGCGGCGCGACCCCTCGACCCCATCGACTCCGACCCCATCTACTCCGACCCCATCTACGAGGCCTCTGGAGGGACGTGTCGGGTCGCGCAGCGCTCGAGCCCAGTCTGGTCGGTTCGGGTCGCGGCCGCAGGCCAGTCGGCCGGCCTGGTCGCGGTTCGGGTCGAGACACGGTTCTCGGGCCTCCTGGCGGCTCGCGACCCCAGCTCGCCAGGAGCCCGAGGGCTGGCAGTACGCGGTGGACTTCTACCGGGGCGGCGATCTGTGGGGCTCGCAGCCGGCGCTGTGCCACTGCCGCCGCCGGCTGTGGCGGCGCGAGTTTGCGCTCCAGAGCAGGTAAGCCCAGGCGTCGCAAACAGAAGAGCGGCTGGCCGGCAAGTGCACACACATGCACATAAACATACACATGCACTCAGTTGAAGCGTCGCACCTTTGCTCGAGGCCCCGCCGCTGCGGCGCGACGTCGCTGCAGGCGCCAGCGGGCAGCGCCATGTCTTCGCTCTGTCCCCCCTGGCGCGCGCTGGGGGCCTCTGGCCTGACTGCTTCTGGCTCCCCCCTGCGGGGGCGCGCCTCATGCGCGTGGTGAGCTACAGGACGGCGTTGTGCGGGGCCCGGAGGCCACCTCGACGAAACCCGGATGCCGGTGGTGATCGTGTCTTATTCCTTGTTTTGCCGATCGGCACGGGCGCCGCCCTGGAGTGGATCTTGGCTGTTGTTGGGCGCCTGTTTGAAGCAGGTGGAGTCTCCCCCCTCAGGACGCACTGCTGCAAACAGTCGCATCGAGCACAGGTCCAGAGCCAGATCCCCCGCCTCCCCCCTCCCTTCCGCCCAATGTCGAAACGTCGAAGGAGCAAACGCTCACGTGATGGGGTCAAGAGCTCCAGACCCGACGTCTTGAGAAATCACGGCGTGGGAGGTCTGAGCCTCCTCCTTCCCTCTCGGAGAAGAAAAAATACAGTCAACCCGCATAGTAAGGATCGGCACCCTTCCCAAGGGTACCCCTTGCATCCTTGCCTCCTCGGTCCATCCTTGGCCACTTTCGCTGGCCGCGCCCACCTCGCAAGGTGTCGACATGGCCTTCCAAATACATTGCATCCTTATCGCGCATCCTTCTGATACTGGCCGACTGTATCTGCCACCAGCCCAGGCCAGGCCAAGCCGGAGACGGGGCTCGGTGAGTATCGCAGGCCCATTCCGGGCAAGTGGTGTCCCAGCATTCGTGCGGGCGTGCACATGGCGCCCTCCCTCCTCGTGCATCGCTCCTGCTGCCTCCCACCTTCCACCTTTCTCCTCGTTTTCCCTATTTCTCCAATACCTCCTCTTCCCTCCTCGCTCTCATCGCCCTTCTCCTACCCGTTGTTTTTCTTTCTTTCTTTCTTTCTTGTTTTTGTTTCTCTCACTCTCTCTCTCTCTCTCTCTCTCTCTATATATATATATTCTTCTTCTGGAGATATACGTATCATATACATACACATATGTATATGTATGGTTGTTGTTCTCTATATCTCTCTCGTTCTCTTTTTCTCTATGTATCTCTCTCTCTGTATGTGTGTATACATGTAAATATCGAAGACGCTTACGGCGAATCACCACCGCCACCTGGCGTTTAGGACACACCTATGTGGCCAAACGTTTGGGCAAAGTTTGCGCTATTGGACTATGCTTTCCTCCAGCCGTTGTGGAAGCCCTTCGGGGAACACGTGGGGGAGGAAGACGGGGATGACGAAAAGGATGCGGAGACCTCTTGGGAGCTTTTGGGGTCATTATTGGGGCCGCCTGGGAGCTTCTTGGGGGCTTCTTTGAGGCCTCTTGGGGGTTTCCTTGGGCCTCTTGGGGGCCTTTTGGCTGCTTCTTGGGGGCCTCTTCGGCCGTCGTGCAGCGTTCTTGGCCCGTCTGACGCCGTCGGAAGCCGTCTTGGGAGCCTCTATGGGCTGTTGTGGGCCCTCCTGGAGCGATTGGGTGTCGTCGTGACGGCCATCTTGGGCGTCTTTTGGAGGCCTTCTTTGGCCGTCTCGGGCTCCTTTGGCGGCCGCCTCGGGAGCCTCTTGAGATGTCTTGGGGCCGTCTTCGAGGCCTCTTGGGCAAATCTTGGTGGCCTCTTGGGCCGTCTTGAGCCGTCGGACGGCCGCTTTGAAGCGGATGGCCAAAGCCTTCAAACACTTGAGGAACATCCCTGAAGTTGACCTCGTCGGGCCTTCCTGGAGCACCGTTCGGCGGCCACTTGGGCCATCTTAGGGGCCTCTGTGGCGCCTCGTGGACTGTCTTGGGCCATCTTGGGTGCATCACGGGCCGTCTTGAGGACATCTTGGCGTTATCTTGGGCTCTCTTGGGGCAATCTTGGTCGTCTGGGAGGCCACTTTGGCCGTCTTGGAGGTCATCTTGAGGCCATCGTCAGCGGAAAAGCCGACGGGAGGTGGGTTTTGTGCAATTCTCTGAAGCTCCACGGGGAGTTCTATGGAAAAGAACCAAACACCACCCAGGCATCCAGCATGCCAGGCATCCAGCATGCCAGGCCCCCCTGTGATCAATCAACAGCGGGCGGCGGATGACGGAAAGTGCGCGCAGAGCCGCGACCCGTTAGTTTGGAGAAATACCAGGAGTGAGTTTGAGGGGGTTGGCTTCGGCGACTTCAGATCAATTCGCCAAATGTTCGGCCATGTTCAGCCCTGGACGGCCCAAGTCAGCCCGAAGAGCGCCTCAAAGGGCCCCAATATTGCCCAAGACAGCCCCAAGAGCGCCCAAGCCACTTTCACGATGGCCTCGGGGAGGCCCAAGAGGGCCCCAAGACGGCCCGAGTGTGGTCAAAGAGGGCCCGCGATGGCTTCAGGACAACCACAGGGCCTGAAGACGCTCCACGAGGCCTCCGAAAGGATGCCCAATGAGCAACCATCCTCCCATCCCCTCGGGAAAACCTCCATGTGTAGCATATCTGCTTCTTTGGTCTTGACAGCTTCACGACGGCCCAAGAAGCCCCAAGGATCGCCCACAAGGTTCCCAAGAGAGCCCCAAAAGGGGCACCGGAGGTCCCGAGACGACCCCAACACGGCCCAAGCCTTCCAAGACGGCCCAAGCGGGCCCCTGGACGGTCCAAGAGGGCCCCAAGATCCAAGACGGCTCGAAGGAGCCCCAACATGATTTCCAAGAAGGTTTGTGGAGGCCATATTCATTTCTTTTGGCACGGTTGTTTAACACCAAGAGGGTCCCAACACGTTGAGCAAACGATCTCGCGCTTTCACCGAGTACGAGCGCTTTCCGACCCCGTGCCAAGCAGGTAACGGAAAGTGCGAGGTACGAGTGATGACGTTCTGGTGTGGGCGAAGCCCTAAAGGGAGGGGTTCCAGGGGAGGGGGTAGCGTGCGCATTTGTGTGTTAATGGCCGTTTTCGAGTTTTCCCTCGGGTTTTTGCATGTTTTTCGGGTTCCCCCCAAAGACGGCCCAAGAGCGCTCCAAGAGAGCCCAAGACCGCCCAAGACGGCCCAAGAGGCCCTCAAGAGGCCCCCAAGAGGCGCCCAAGGGGCGTCCCAAGAAGCCGAAATCAGTGATTTTCCATAGGAAAACGTCTATTTGTAGCATCTACGGCTTTTCGGCTTTCACGGCGTTGACGACGGCCCAAGAGGCCCCCAAGACCGCCCCAAGACGGCCCAAGAGGCTCCCAAGAGGCCCCCAAAACGGCCCAAGAGGGCCCCAAGACGGCCCAAGAGGCGCTCAAGACGGCCCGAGAGGGCGCCAAGACGTCCCCAAGAGGGGGACCACGAACCGAAAAGTCTAGCCTTTCGCCCCAAGACGCTCCAGGAGGCCCCAGAGCCCCCCAAGACGCTCCAAGAGGCCCCCAAGAGGCGTCCCGAGAGGCCACCGGGAGGCGAAAATCATTGATTTCCTATTGGAAATGTACATTTTTAGCATACAAGGCTTTACTTTTCGGCTTTCCAAGAGGCTCCCAAGAGGCCCCCAAAACGGCCCAAGAGGGCGCCAAGACGGCCCAAGAGGCGCCCAAGACGGCCCAAGAGGCCCCCAAGACCGCCTCAAGACGGCCCAAGAGGCTCCCAAGAGGCCCCCAAAACGGCCCAAGAGGGCGCCAAGACGGCCCAAGAGGCGCCCAAGACGGCCCAAGAGGGCCCCAAGACGGCCCCAAGAGGGGGACCACGAATTGAAAAATCTAGCCTTTCGCCTCAAGAAGCTCCCAGGCGGCCCCCAGAGCCCCCCAAGAAGCCCCAAGAGGCCCCCAAGAGGTTCCCAAGCGGCCTCCAAAAGGGCCCGACAAGGGCCCCAATAGGACTCCCAAGAAGGCCCAGAGACGCCAAATAGAGAGCGATCGGTAACGCAAAAAGCTCTTCACACCAAGGCTCCCAAGAGCGAACGGTGACGTAAACAAGCTGATAAGACCAAGGCTCCCAGCAGAGAGCGGTGACGTAACAAGTTCCTGACACCAAGGCCCAGCCAAGGCTCAGGAACGGGCGGCAACGCAACAATCTCTGAACACCAAGGCTCCCAAGAGCGAGGGGTGACGTAACAAGCTCTCAACGCCAAGGCTCCCAGTACGAACGGTGGTGTGAGTAATTTCGGTCAAGTTGTTGAAGCGCTCTTTCCGTTTCCGTGCCGGCCCAGGTCTAATAGCCTTCGGCCCATTCCGCCACCCTGCCTAGGTTCTGGGTTGGGGGTCATAGGCCTCTAGGATGTTCTGGGATGTCGCGGGAGGCCTCTCGGTTGGCTTCGTACAGGCAGTTTGAGGTCTCTTGGGGGCCTCTTGGGGCATCCTGAGGGCCTCCTGAGGACCTCTTTGGGCCTCTTGGGGGCCTGTTGGGGGCATCTTGAGACGGAAGGCTCGAATTGTCGGTTCGTACTCCCACTCTTGGGCCGCTCTTGGGGCCGTCTTGGGGCTCTTTTGGGCCGCCTTGGGCGCCCCTTGGGCCGTCTTGGGGCTTTCTTGGGCCGTCTTGGGGCCCTCCTGGGGGCCTCTCGGGCCGTCTTGGGGCTGTCTTCGGGGCCTTTGGGGCCGTCTCGAAGCGTCGGAAGCTCAATAAGTCGAGAACCCCAAAACATGTCAAACACCGTGGGATTATACATGAAGTTGCCTCTCGGGGTCCTTGGGGCTCTCTTTGGGCGTTTCGAAGGCTTCTTGGGCCAGCTTGGAGGCCATCTTGGATCCCCAAGCTCCCAGGATCCCGGGCGGTTCCCCCAGGATCCGCCTCGCGGTTTCCCCAGTTAAGTCCCTTTAGCTTAGCGTTGCTTATCTCATCTTAGCTTAGCTTATTCCCTACCTAGGCTCTGCCTAGAAGGGTTCTTACTCGCTAAACTCAAAGGGCCAGGCAGTGTTCCACGCCCCGGGCGGTTCCCCCGGCA